GGCATATATTCAATCATTCTAAATAAATTTGAACAAATTAGAATGAATGACCAAAATTGCTGGGGCATTTTGTAGCTGGGGCAGTTCGACTGGTACACATGAGATATATATTATCAAAATCAGTAAGAGATTTCACATGAGCTTGAAAACGTTTCGCTATAATGTTCTTTTCGGTTTGGAGCCCTAAATAATGCAGTCAACTCAAAACATTGCTGAATACAACGGCAAATCATGAAGTACTTGTTGCTTTCATTGTTTTCCATTTTGTCCAATTACGCACATCGGCATCAGACTCGCTATTTGTCAGTAGTGTGTGCCGTGAAAGTTGTTCTGTATTCTCATTGGCTGACAAGATGTCATTCTAAGGCTATGACCGAGTACCATAACTATTTCCATAACCAAACAATGAGGAAACATACGTTGTCCTGACTAGTATTTTATAATTCACCAGTTTCCGGGAATAACTTATCTGCGTCGCGAATATTATCTCTGCTCGACCAGGCTGGGATCTTGTATCGAGACTTGATACGTTATTAATGAGAACTAGGATCCTAATTCTTTTCAACAAAATAATTCCAGTGTAATTTTTGAAGCAGATAATTTTTATTTTCCCTCGTCTGAAGCATAATTATTTTGTTTCTAAATCCCAGTCACCCTACAGTCACCCATTTGACACAAAATGAACTGTAATCACATTTGTTTTTAAATAATTCTTAGTGACTGGTCATATATTTATAGGGGTGAGTTTGCTGGCTGGAACTGTATGACATTTTGCTGACAACTAGTAATCTTGTTAAATGATATGGTATATTTTTACAATTATTTTGACCTCAAGCGGTGCCTCCGTTTCGCTTGATTCTTCTTCTTCATCTTCAGTGGAAGATGGTCTTGCAAGATGTAAAATCGGATCGTATTGATACGGTCTAACATCTATTCAGAAATGACATCAGGAACATCTTTCACTGCTTCAGAATCCATGGACACTGTTAAGTTGTAAGGTAAAATCAAAGAGGAAGCCATCAGCAACAGGCACTTATGACGTCATGTCACGTGATACCCCCTCTGCTCATTAACTGGCGGGTGTTTCCGTAATAGGCGGAAATACGAGTACGTTTTTGTGTTTTTTATTGCTATATTACAAACTTTTTGTTCAATTTTAATCACGGAATGTGATTTTTAGAATATCATTTAAAATATATTAAAAGTTTTGTTTTCGTTCGTATTCTCCTTTAAAAGCAATGTCATTATTTAGCCTTGACAGAATTTCTAACTGTGATATAGATATGTCGTTGTCACAGACAAAACTCAATGTTTTGTTTTATTGACACCTGTGTGTCTGCCTGCCTGTCTGCTAATGACAATATTCAATACACAGCTGCTATCACTGACCACATGCAATTTGAACTTAACACCAATCAGGCTATACACCATAAACAAAATGCACTGATTTATGGCCCGAGTTCGGTCTCTGTCACATTATGTAATTACACTGACAGGCAGGTGTGATACTTGAACACATGACACGTTATGATGTCTGTTGATAGCAAAATGTTATACACAAAAAATGAGCATGTATTTACAAAACCCAACATCTCTATATATACACACACAATGAGCCGTGGGGGAATCTGTAAATGAACCAGCCGTTACACTTGAGTGCACACCCACCCGCTCTGACTGGGTTCAGTATCCCGGCTGCTTCGTTTCTTGGGAAGTAAACCCAAGTACACAATATTGCACTTTTGATTTGCGATTGTACGCTTATAATTTTGTTTATATATTTTTTCATAACCAGCAATGTATATAATTATGTTTGATTTTTTGGTTGCATGTGACCTTTAAGTTAAATTAACATGCAACTGCATTATCAATACGTCATTTATATTGAATGCAAATATAAGCTTAAAGAACGAATAAACTTTTGTTTTCTTGTACTCTTTTAACTATTACCTATGAAAGATGTGTGGTTTGTCTTAAGCGGAACACCAAATTCATTCTTAATTAATACCGAGCGATAAAAAGTTGCCAAAAAGTCGTCTGCAGCAAACCGGGACTGACGTCATGTGAGGAAGGATGGTGAGGTCAAGTGATGGTGTCACCATGCACAGATTTCCACTGGACCCTGCAGTTTGCACTAAATGGGTTATGTTTATGAGTGTGAAGCGAGCGTTGTTGAAGCCTGGAACGATATCTTACTTGTGTTCAGATCACTTCACGGAAGTTACAAAAATCAAAACTATGTACTAGTTGTAGTAAAATATGTATATGATTGATGACCAACAGGACATTGCATGACACAACTTGTAACATAATGATTTCTTCCTCGGAAGCGAGGTTGTGGTCGAAGTCCCATTAATATTGTAAGTAGTAATATATTGACACCCACCTCGCTTCAAAGAGAGAAATTGTTATGTTATAAGGTATGTCATGCAAAGTCCTATTGGTCATCAATCAGATACTACCAGTAGAAAGTAGTTTTGATTTTGTAACTCGGTGAAAACAAACCTAAATAGCATTTATTCTCAGACTGGCAGATGTTCGCGACAGGATGCCACCATTTTTTTAAATTGTGACATCACGGGCTAAAGTCTGTTTGAGAATCAATGAAATAATGGTTTGTTTTCATCAAGTTAGAAAATCAAAACTACTTTCTACTCATACTTAAATATGTATTTGAATCATCGCCAAAAGGATTTTGCATGACACAACTTGTAACATAACGATTTCTTCCACGGAAGCGAGGTGGGGGTCGAAGTGACACTATCCATCAATATCCACATAAAGGAACGATTGGCCATTCATCTGCAGCTGACAAATAATCCTATTTCATGTCGTGTCTTTTAACAGTCTAATATACGGAAAAGTGATTTATCATTTCAGGTTTTTCACATTGGTGTTTATTCCCATTGGTCACCCATTGGTCACCCATTGGTCACCGAAGATAGCACACCTGGCCACTAATTGCATGATGTCCGCCATTCTTTAAAAAGGTAATTTAGTGAGCCAATAATGAGCAATCAATCAATCTATTGGCGATTAATCCTTTGAAAGGTGTCCTCCCAAAAGTTAGTCGTCCCAAAAGTTAGACGCGTTAAAACAACAAAGGTTATGGTTGGTTGCACTGAGGTTCACAACACTGTTACCTTCATCAATTAATGGACCAATGTACTAATCCAAACACAAAGAGAAGAGATTATGGATAATGACAATGACTTTATTTGACATAAAACAAAATAAGTTAATTTAACAAGATAATTTAAATGGTCAATAAAATCATTCAAGATTTAAGATTTCACATCTTTCACATCATTCACAATACAGGCAATATCAACCAAGTCTGAGCAAATGTCCAACTGCATCGAGAAACTCATTGTTTGTCATCCCTCCTGCACGCAGTCTCTCTTGCAGACGCATCAGCCTGTTCTCAGTTTCCCTGTAGACCCTCTTCCTCTTTGGGGAGCAGCACTAACGTTGATCTGCTGGAGTTTGGCTCTCTCTGCGATCTCAATATTCTGGATGATCTCTACCAATCGGTAGATGGTAGGATGGTGACTTCACGTATTCTACTCTCTGAAGACCAGCCATCGTTTGTTGTTAACCCTTGTTAGTTAGTTATTTGTTTTATTTAACGTCGCACACACAACTAAGCTATTTCGGCGACGGGGTAGTAAACTTATTATGAAATGAGGGGGAAGAGAAAATATAAATTTTGAAAGAGTGAACAAAAAAACCCAAAAGCAACAACAACAAAAAACAACTGACTATTAAGGGAACTTTAAATGGGAGGCCGAAATAGATAGGTAAAAATTATGAAATAGGTAAAGAGTAATAGAGATTTGGAATTTAATATATATGCAGTGTAATAAATGGTTATAGTTATTGTTATTATTTAAAAACATATTCATTGAGTAAATAATGCTGAACATATAAAAGATTAAAAGATTTTTAAAAAGGTTAAACACTATGCATTTTTATTACATAATGCCATTCAAACATGAATATATACCACATCTGCACCATCCATTTACGAAAAATAGTCATAAAAATTAAAAATATGCACCAAAACTAAAACCACTTTAGCCCCGCCCACTTGTAGGCATATTTTTATTTTTAGCGGTTTGCTGTCTGTGGGTGACGTCATACCAGAGAGTCAGTGTGTTGACATTTCAGTAGTGTATACGCCATTGAGTTGAAAGTGACACAAAGCGCAATATTTTGAATGAAGAGTTGTTGTGATTATGTATTGGAAACTGACAACTGCACTTCGAGTTTTGATGATCATCCAACTGCGTAAACAACACGGATGTATCGATACATTTCCTGAGAAATTCTATTTGACAAGAGGAAGGGCATAGATTGTTTACTGTCATGCGGATTTTGTGAACCGCTCCATGCACAGTCATCTGTGTTCGTTACACTTTTCGAAGAATTGCTATGAAAGAGACCTAACCTCTGGCGAAATATGGATACGAATAGGCAAAACTTAAACTTTATAAGGATGCTATATATTGGGTATTCCTTTCGACATTCCAAACAAACACAGAGGCCGAAATGTCAACTTGGGACTGAGACCCAGAGAGTTCCATTCCGGAAGCGACGTTGGTTGCAGGTGAGTTTTAAGATGTAGTTGTTTTGGAGCAACATAAACACTCCAGTAGCTAGCTATATAAAGCAATAGTTGATGAACAAGTACGTCATAATTTCCGCTTCATGTCCTATTTTCGATCAGAGATATATTTTCACAGCCACTGTCACTGTTACTCAGTAGGGCCAAGTCATCTATTTCCCGAGAGGGGTGTGTTGCGGTGTGAGTGTGTGTGGAGGGATTAGGATGGGGGTGTGCATGGACAAATGAGAACTTACAACATATGGGTGCGGTGGTGAGAGAGAGCACATAATTATTAAAACATAATTAAAAATAATTCGTATCAGATAATTATCCACCAGGGACTGGTCCCCTACTATGTTAAAATGGTATGTGAATTGTGTGTGTGCGTGCATGCGCATGTGCTTGTGTGTGTTAGGGCATGATTAAAATGTTGACTCTCACTCTTTCTCTCTTTAAGGGGATGTACAATAAATAAAATGAAAATGACTGCTCTGCACTGACATAAAACTTAGGTATGTATGGATCCCTTGTAAAAACATCATGGCAGCTGTATATATAGGTAACTTTTAACCCACTTTCAAAAATGGGGAAAACAGGGAAATATGTTCATTAAGATGTTTTGTTTTTGGCAAATGTAAAAATGCTACTTTAATGCTATTTTTTTTTTCATCAATGAAAACAGCCTAAATACCCTAGAAATGACGAAGACTGGAGAACCCAAGTGGGCAATCAGCTACCCCATAGGCCTAAACCAAGAGGCCAAGTCAGTGAACAAGAAACCAACACGTGGTAAATATAATTCAGACAATCAATAATCTTTTGTTGAACTGGTGCACTGTTCCTATTACTGCATATTTTTCCCTAACTAATGAGTCAACACTAAGTCTTGTTTGCAAAGACACTGGTATTTAATCCTCATATCTATTTTCCCTCTCAGCAGGTTAAGACAAAAGTACTTACTTTTTAAGTGCAGATTTCAAAGAAAATTATTATTATGGTTGCCAAAACAAAATATACTGAATTTTTAAACTTATCCTATCTCACGACTTGCACCTCTCTCTCTTCATTCGACCATGAGTGGAAACGAATTAAACTTTGCTCCAGTCCTTCTTTGTCCCTGTCCCCGGTGCTGTGCATGCCTTCCTGCTTTAGCCATGCTCACTAGGCTGTGACAGCACGTGGCATGCGCAGTCCTCACCCACGTGATCACCTTCCATACTCATTCTCTTTCTTGTCGCTCAACAGAGTGGACGTGAATTTTTTTCGTCTGATAATTGCTCAACATGGGTAAGCCTGTTTTTTCAGCTTGGGACCCACACATATCGTGTGTTGCTTATGTGGGTTGTTGTGATTGGGACAAACGTTGTCCTAAGTGTTCAGGACTGTCTAATGAGGATTTTAAAGCTTACAAACGTGCTTGTGCCAGACGTTTGGCAGATAGGGCCAGGAATGCTTATGTGGGATCTCGTTCATCTCCCGCTAAAAACAATGTTTACATCGCCCCACCCTACCTGCTCGCCGTTCAAGATCTCCCCGTCTCTCCTAACGAAGATTTTATGGACGCTTCGTCTGATTTCTATTTGTCTGAGAATGTTAAAAGGCGTTTGGGACGCTTTCCTCACCTAGCTCAAGTTCTCATGGGCATGCAAGGGTGGTAATGACTGATATTTCCTCTACACAAGACCTGCGATCTACTTCATCTCGTAGATCCGTTTCTTCGGACCGTTCAAGTCCTCGAAGTCCAAGCATTCATTATCGAAGCGTGGATCGGCGTGGTTGGAACATAACCGTTCTCCTCTTCGTACGGTTTCATCCCACCGAAACAATTCACCCACACGAGTTGAGTCACCATCTGGTTCGGAGGTTCGAATTCGTTCTTCTACTGCTGGGAAGTGTCGTTCTAGATCTCGTTCATGCTCGAGCTCTCGTCGTCCTTCCAATGTACCAGTCCGAACCGATTCACCACCTCGATTCATTTCACCAATCAGAATTGGGTCTAATGCCACTGTTGGTTCACTAGAACGGAACCATTCACCTAGCCGTGTCATTGCCAAGGGTCGAACTAGTTCACTCAGCCGAGCCGGCTCACCAGACCGAACTCGAATGGATTCACCAGGATGAACCGGTTCACATTCCCGACTCAGTTCACCTCAACATAGGTTTCAGTTCGACTCACCATCTCATAGTTGAATCAATTCACCACAGCATTTTGATTCACGTAGTCGTTCAGTCTCACCTAGTCGAAGTGGTTCGCCATTTCGATCCGCTTCACCAAGCCGTACGGTGTGTTTTCGTCAGAGTGATTCTCGTAGTCGGTCTCATTCACCTCAGGTGAATCAGGATATCCCATCTTGTCAGTCTAGAGCTAGTGAGCACTTGCGGTCAGCACCATTACGTAATAGTTCCCCTCATTAACATCGTTCTGTGCGGGTGGTTTCACCTGCTAGGCTGCGTTATGGTTCAGTGGATCGGCGTTCACCTTCACGCCATGCCACTTCTACTTTGCCTCGGTCATAGGTTATTGCTGAGTCTTGAAATCCTGCGCTTGATCCCTCTCCAGCGCCGGGTTTGGACACTATGCTTCTTGCTGTTGACCCTAAGTAGCGTAATTTTGGTTCACACTGTAACAATATTTACTTCCTCGGATCCCTACTCGTCATGTGTGGGTTGTATTGACCTGTGTTCCTGGAGCAAACGTTGTCGGGAATGTGCTCCCTTATCAGGGACGTTTTTAGAGCATGTAGACATGCTTGCTCCCGTTGGCTGGCAGACAGAGCTCATTACACTTCAACAGTTGATCACCTGACAAACCCCAGCTTTTAACGACCGGTATTAACTGCTCGTCGTCCGGAGATTCCCATGTCGGACGGTGATAATTTTATTGGCGCATCATCAGATGTCTTCTCGTCGTTCCGCCTTATCAAACTGCTCAGTGTTGCCAGCTGACTCACACAGCCGATCTACATCATCAAATCGCCGAACCGATTCACCACACCGAATCATTTCGCCATACCGAATGGATTTACCAGACCTTCGCCACGGCGTATGTGGATTACGACATCGACTCAGTTCGCCATAATATTAAGACTGTTTCTTATCGCCGAAACGGTTCACATCATCGATTCAATTCACAGCCCCGAACCGATTCATCTCGGCCGGAACATTTCACCTCACCTCACCGGTTCATTTGAGCGTTCTAGATCTCTCCATCAGCTGAGATCATTTAAATGTTTCGGATTACCGAACCGATCCAGAACCGATCCAGATCACAGTCACGATCCAGATCACAACACCGATCCAGATCACAACACCGATCCAGATCACGTCAACATTCCGGCTCACCACCCTGAACCGATTTACCAGCCTGACTCGTACCGTTTCACCAGGGTGAAAAGCTCCCTATCGTCGAACCAGTTCACCTGGCCGTTCAAGATCACTGCCTCCCAAGACACTTAACCCACATCGAACCTCGTCTTTGTTTTCATGGTTGGGGCTACGCCAGTCGCCTATAAGATGTAGGAATGGTTTTGGTTGATTCGACACACATGATCCCATGGTTTTGCCGACCACCTACAGCTACCTAGAGCAAGATACCAGATGTTCTATTACATTCAACATGAAAGATCGGGATTTGTCAACACTGGTTTTCCACATCCTCAACGAGGTTCGTGAACTTGCATCTAGATAGGGCCAAATTTATCGAACTCTGCTAGTTTTCAACACGATCATATAGTTTTCAGGGCATCTGTGAGGCGCTGAATTCCTCATTACGAAGTGGCAAGCTCTAAGCTCGACAATTTGATTTGTTTATCCGGTTTACCTTACGGCTTGTGAGGTGCTTAATGTTTTTAGTCACATAACTTATCCCACCTTGTACCCGTTTTTCGGATGGTTGTACAGAGGTAGTAGCTATGTGCTTCACCATGCCGAATTGATTTACATGTGATGTCAGTAGCGCAGTCATCTAGAGATATCACGCTCGTCACTTGACGGTCTGACGATCCCAGTTCTCAAGAGTCCTCCGTGACCGGGGCTCATCTCATTCCAGATTTAATCTACCATCCAATCTTCACCTTCGGTGTAGATATCAGTTCTACAACCACCCAATATGGCATTACTACATACGCTTGCTAGCCAGGAATACTTTACGACGATCCACTGATTCTTGTTACTACAGACTACTGGTAACAGCGTGTGTGTGTGTCGCTGGGTGCAATTGTTGCAGATGGTTAGTCATCTTCAGCTCCCTTTGTTTTACATGATAAGCAAGTTTCTGGACAGATAACAGATGGGTGAAGTTTTTACGCATGGTACCAGCATAGCTCAGCCTGGAATTTATGGGTTGCGACTCGCCCGGTTAACCGAAGACTGTGTTGTCCGTTTTTTTGTCACTCGTGTGTAACGTTTGCAAATGGCGGACTACTGTTTGTTTACAGGAAATTTGATGATTAGAGTGACTATAAAGTGCCTTTGCAGACTTGTCTTGGTCCCACGAATCGGATACCAAGTCCAGCCTTTTAATGCTAGTAACAATGAACGCTGCCATTCCCGGTAAGAGTGATTGTGTCGGGATTTCGACAGCCAGTCGAGAGAGACTGCTTATTGAGTGTGACAGACAGAAACACCCGTGAACGGTTTGACTAGCTCAAGCACTGAGTTCAGAGGTCACTGCAGTTATGCAAGGACTGTCACCAGGCAGCGATCTACTACCTTTATCACTCCACCTGGCGAACCATCATTTTGTTCGGCCAACCGAAACATTCCTGAGGTCACCGATCGTACGAATTTCTTCAATTCGTTTACAATGTGAATGTTCCTGTAGGTTGACTGACAATCTCCATGCGCCGAACATACTACATTGAGCAATCTGTCACAACTGACATAGTTGCTCGACTTATTGAACGTTCTTATGTCAGGAGATATATTTTTGCCAGAGGCAAGAGTGGTTAGACCTCTCATTTCCCTCAACCTGCGAGGGCCGTGGGGTAGCCTAGTGGTTAAAGCGTTGGCTCGTCACGCTGAAGACCTGGGTTCGATTCCCCACATGGGCACAATGTGTTAAGCCCATTTCTGGTGTCCCCCGCCGTGATGTTGCTGGATTATTGCTAAAAGCGGCGTAAAACAAAACTCAGTCAGTCAGTCAGTCAGTCAGTCAGTCCCTCAACCTGCGAGACGCCTCCCTTCACATCCAGATACATCCAGACTATCGGAAGTATCTTTGATTTACTTTCAAGGGGCGTCATTGATACCAATGGAGGGTCCTGCTGGATCCAGTCGTCCTTCCTCTCCACAGGCAGTTCATCATGAAGTTGCTCACGCAATTAGGATGGCTGCTAAATTCGGAGAAATCGGAGGTAACGCCGACCCGTTGATTTCTTTTTATTGGGACAATATTCAACACGACAGGTCCTGATGTTTGTGCCCCAGGAGAGGTGGGACAAGATTCAGTGCAACGCACCATTTGTGCTGGTCCAACCTACAACTTTTCGCCAGTGGCAGAAGTTACTAGGGTGGTTGACGTCGGCACAAGCGCTGACTTACAGGGGCCAGCTGCAGCTTCGCCATCTTCAGATGTTTCTGTGCCCATACATCGGGGACGACAACCCCAGGGAGTTGACTCGTCTTCCCGCACAACTACATTCAGTCTTTCGTTGGTGGCTCAACAAGTGGAATGTTTGTGTTGGAGTCTCTATGGTGCCCTTCATACCTACTCAACACCTGTTCGTTGACACATCTTTCAAGCTGGGGCGCTCACTTTCTCCATCAAGTGGCCTAGCAGTGGCCATCAGCAGAAAGGGCCCTTCATTACAACGAACTGGAATTCAGCACTGTCATTCTCGCCGTTCGGCATTGGGCAGTTGAACTACGGTTCACTCATATACTGATTCAATCAGACATTTCGATGGTAATTTTGTACATAAACCATCAGGGGTCGACAGGATCAGCAGCTCTGCTTCAGTTGATGTTTCGAATTTATCATCTGATCGATTCACTCCACACAGTGGCCAGAGCCCGACACATTCCCAGGATGAGGAATGTCATTGCCGATGCCCTGTCACTCACGGATTGGAAACAACTGCCTCTGATCTTCCAATCAAAGATCTACCTGTTGTAGACCAGATGTAGACCTGTTTGGCACTCGGGACAACCATGAGCTTCAGCGCAGATGATCACCAGTTGCGATCGTTTCTGCTTTGTGTACAATCTGAATAAAATTCTGAATTTTATTTCTGATTTGTGTCTTCGATTCTTCTGGGACTTGTGAGTTTTCCGATTCAATTACCCTTTCACCCTCCACGGGACGGTGTCTGTGGGGGTTGTTTCGGAGCAGGGGCTGGCCCGATACTGGTCGTTATACTTTTATTAAGGGAGTACCTTGAAAATAGTGGCGACGCGACTGATTACACTCGCTAAGCTGCATCCTTTCACTTTGTGAAGGTAGTGACTGAACACCACATTGCTCGGGAATCCCGGTCCCTGGGAGCACTTGTGCTTAGTAAGTCAATGGGTTTGAACTAACCCTCACACGTAGTAACTTTGGTAGTTATTGGCCTGCCTTGTAGTTGCTTCCAACGGTTGTTTTGGCATAATGCTTAGCTGTTATCGCTTTGAACTTCGGGTAATCTATGACCCACCTTCCTACTGTGGGATAAGTGCAAGTTGTGAGATAGGATAAGTTTAAAAATTTGGAAATTTTAACTATAAATTGTATATATATATACTTATCCTATCTCACGCGATAAACTCCCACCCTACCTCCCAACTACTTAGATTACCACTGTTCCGGTTTTGTCCTTTTATGGCTCCAAGATCGAGAATGAGTATGGAAGGTGATCACGTGGGTGAGGACTGCGCATGCCACGTGCTGTCACGGCCTAGTGAGCATGGCTAAGGCAGGAAGGCATGCACAGCACGGGGACAGGGACAAGGAAGGCCTGAGCAAAGTTTAATTCGTTTCCACTCATGGTCGAACGAAGAGAGAGCGGGTGTAAGTCATGAGATAGGATAAGTATATAAATATACGATTTATAGTTAAAATTTCCAAAATTGTGTTACCAAATGTCTCTAATTCAATGTAAAATGTATTCACAGGGTATGTGGAATTCCCACTCAGGGCCATTCTCTAGAGAAGAAACATGTTTCCTTCCTACAGACTTGCAGGACACAACAGCCTATTTTTCCAGGATATTCTGCCAGACACTTTCATTTATAACTAGTAAACAGGAACTGGTGAATTCACTGACATCAAGATATAAAATGAAATCATGTATATGTGTCTAGGGTGTGAACTGAAACCAGTTGTCCCTGATGTCTTAAGGTCTATTGTATTCGCCTGTTTGAATTCTGGGACTTGTTCAGATGGTAAATGTTTCCAAATTGCAGTCACCACTGTGTCACATGGTCTTATTGGAGAGCAGTCTTGTTTTCTTAGGCTTTTACCAGTCCATCCAGTTAATTTACACGCAAGCCTTTGCCTTCATGATGTTGGTGTACACATTGTATTCATTATTTTGTCATAAACAGTTTGTATGCAAAATATATTATTTGCTTTTATTTTTGTGTGCTGGTTTCTGAATTTGATCAATGGTCTTTCTTTGGGACTGATCACACTTTACACATTACTACTAGAACACAATGAAGAATTTTCTGTTTCACTAGCTGACAGTTAAAGAGAAAGATAAGGATTTGTCAGTTCTATTTTTTGCATGTATGTATATTTATTTATTATATCTATTATCAGCTGTTAAGGAGGTTACAGGTCTCTATCATTTTACATTTCATGTGTATGGAAATTGAAAATGTAATAAAACTGATGTTTGATGCACCATATCAGAGACGATACCTGGGGGCGGCTACAGCTTTTTGAGAAGGGGTGGGGGGGTGCACACTACTGAGAAAAGGAGGGGTGCACACTTCATTTCCACCCGAGTTTCAAAGGTCATTTAACAAACCTTCAGCACGTGGGGGTGGGGGTGGACCACCACCCCCCTCTGGATCCGCCTATGGATACACCGACTTCTCCGAAAACATACACTAACGAATTTAGGGTACTTCTCTACAATACAGTAGTGAGATTGAACTTATCGACTTCCGTAATGGTACGTATTTCATAGAAAAGATTATCACCATACTAAATCTTTACTGATAAATTTAGCAGAAGACGCTTTTTTATGAAATAAAGCTGAAAGTTCCTTAAAAACCTTCATAAAATCATGAACCTCGAACGTAACTATTTCAGTGTTTACCTTCCCATACCGATACCGGAAGACAGGCTCAACACATTGATCGAACATTGCCGTTATCATGATTTCAAATTTTACCGTGGAGAATAAATTCAGTATCTAATCAGTTTTCCATGAACATTTGATAGGCAAGTGACTTGCATACCAGTCTGCAGTAGGTCTATTCAAACATAGTCGGGATTGTCCCACGGCTGTATGTTGTCAACTCGTGAAATCGTCGTCAATATTCCTGTCGGTATTGCCGCTAGAAATACTTTCAAATTGAAAACGTTGTATGTATGTGGTATTATCTGTATCTAGTATGCCATCCAAATCCAGGTTTGACTTCGTGGATTGATTTATTTGCTAAACTAGAAGCAGACCTCAGTATGCGAACAGGCTCGGTACAACTGTATTTTCCGTGTGTTCATGTAGCGACTTTCGGGTATGACGTCATGCGACCATGTGACCATCTACCTCATTATCTTGCGTAATTGCGAAATGTTTTCGAGGGAGGTGCGTTTTAGATTCCTAATACAAGCTGTATAATGAAATATTACCGTTTTTAACTGTATTTTGTGGATATTATATATACTCAAGGGTTCATTAAGAGCGAAACTAAATAATGTGAAGTGACCTTTTTTAAAAATCCTTTAAAAACTGAAGTTTGAACTCTTTTTATCAACTTCGGGGGTGTTTTGTTTGTTTTTGTAACCTTTTGTGTTGTAAAAACAAGCATGCAAAATCTCTAATCTTGTTTTGATTAAAGTGAACGTTGTGAAAACAAGTATGCAAAATCTATTATCCTGTTATGATAAAATCGAACATTGTGAAAACACATTTGGAGAACCCAGTGATTGAGTAAGACAGTCAACATTAGTATTCTGATCAAAGTATTTCTGTACAAATGTGACCGCCTCCGTGGTGTAGTGGTTAGAGCGTCCGCCTGGAGAACTGAAGGCCGCAGGTTCGATCCCCGACCGCGTCATACCAAAAGACGTTAAAATATGGTACTTGTTAGTCCCTGCCTGGCTCTCGGCATTAATGGGTACAACAAGGGCTGGTCGGCTCGGAGTCAGTATAATGTGTCTGAGGGGTATTCATGCTTCACTGCGGCATGGTATCTCAGTGGGCTAGCACTATAAAATCAGTTTAAGTCTGCGCTAGTACAAGCAGCCGCACAAACACACGCATGCACGTCGTCATTTGAGCGAAATGTTCTCAAGTACAACATTAAACCCAATTTCACCTCACCTCACCTCACCTGTACAAATGTGAAAACCATCTCATTAGTTTATGGGACAGGTTCATTATATCAGTAGGTAAGACTAGGTTGTATTCACAGTCACGCCTGGTTGATTTGTCTGGGATGTATGACTTTTGGGACATCTAACTTTTGGGAGTAAACCTTTGAAAGAAGGACGTTTTTACACAGACACTTTATGACAGGGTGTATCCAGTATAGATTAGTAAATCCACATGCATAAACATTACCTTTTGACAAATGCTGTGCAAGATAAAAGCAATTAATCAATCAGCATGTTATCGGTTAATCCTTTGATCGATGTTTGCTTTTGTAACTCAGCTGATAATTCCTCTTGCTGCACTTCCATGCGCATATTACATAAGATGTAATACATTTGCCACATTAAACCTTAATTCATCATGATGAGTATTTACTCCAGACATGAGAAATGTCAAATGGGAACCTTTGTCAGGTAATCTGAGTGGTGTTGCTACTAATTACACCTGTTATAAATTGATTAACTGACCATCAAGTGAATGATGACAAATAACATGTGTAGGTTTACCACCAAACAAGGGTTACAGCAAGAGAGTAGTAATCGCTGTATTGCATGCAAGTTTGATTGCCTGGAAAAAAACACATGGGCAGACACCGTTTTGAGGATACGAACTGAACTTCATTATTGCATAAGCATTTGCTGTGTACTTAGTTAAAAATTGTTATTACCTGTTTACCCAAGTAACACACAGAAATAGGATCAAATTGGATCAGCCATTATACCATCCAAGCATTAGAAAATCTGAAAAATCCTACACTGTTGGGATACTTTATTACAATCAGACAACAAGTACTGGGGATATTTTCAAATAACGGCATCTGATGGTCATCCACCCTTCCTAATGTCCCACTTCGATTTTGACAGAATCATCTATGAAAACAAGTTGTAACTCGGAAGCTAGGCAAAGCAGGTGACAAGATTAAATGACAGTAGATTGTGAAAACATAAATGTTTCATTTTTCACAACAGTTGTCATGATTTTAGGTTTAGACAAACCTGTAAGCAAGATAATCTACCCTCTGACACGCCGCTCTGATTGGTTGAAATTTCGTTCGCGGGAGAGAATCGTGCACTGTTGTCAAAAAGGTAAATTTAAGTTCATCAAATGTCGAAATGAGTAGTTTTAATGATGGGGTTTAATTTATAGCGATGCAAATAAATGATTTATGTATTTGTACCCCCCAAGAGTATATGTGATCTTTAAACAAATTGATCACTCTGGATATATTCAACTGAAACTTTCCTAGGATGACAAACTGTCAAAAAAATCAACATATACATTTAGACAGTTTTCAGTATTTTTTTTATAGTGTAATTATCACATAAGATATTTTTTTCAAAGCATGTTTAAGAATATCAATAACAATATTTATAGATATCATATTGTTTATCATGTGACCCTCTGTTATCGCAGTAGTTAATTTTGTTGCCATCAGGATTATGAAGGCCTACTGACATTTGGCATTTTATATATATTTTCAGTTGACTGATGTTTAATCTTCTTTTCTGTCTCAAATAATATGGCACTCGTCCAATATGATCGCAGCAATCCCGATTATCACATTTGACCCGGAAATTGAAGCAAGTCTCTATTATCGCGGTATTGCTATTTTCTTACTATGGCACTCAATACAAGCAAATGACACTGTGAAACATTTACTGAGACAACTAACGAATCTAAACAGTTTTATTATTAAAATTATTTAGGAATTTCATTCAGATTAGTAATAGCATGTTTTGAACCAAAACATCTGAAACTTCTGTTCATCTGAATACAAGGTAACAATAACGTAACATACAATTTGCTGCCAAGTGCAGGGTGAAGTTGCTTAATACATCACTTCCTGTTATATTTTTAAGACAGAAAATATGCAAATGACCTTAGAGTTGTCGCAGGATTACTCTGGACAAAGTAAGTTTTGATTCATGCTAGATGTAATGACAGTAGGGGTCATACTAGTTTCAAAATGTTCCAGAACTTACTGAAAAGATGAATACTTAAATAATTTCTAAGATTAAACATAACATTCCAATGAAATAATGACTTTTTCAAAAGTGATGAATTTATTTACGTTATTTGCATATGTAAACAACCGATAAGGGGCTCTGGTGTTCTGCTTTCCCGATGTTTTCACGTGCCGCTAAAATAGAGAGTTCCAGTAAAATAGTACCACCCTGAATTCCCTGATACTAATCATGACAGTGTGGCCCTGAACACCCTGATACAACAGTACCACACTGAATTCCCTGATACTAATCATGACAGTGTGGCCCTGAACACCCTGATACAACAGTACCACCCTGAATTCCCTGATACTAATAATAACAGTGTGGCCCTGATACAACAGTACCACCCTGAATTTCCTGATAATAATCATGACAGTGTGGCCCTGAACACCCTGATATAATATTACCACCCTGATTTCCATGATACTAATGATGACAGTGTGGCCCTGAACACCCTAATGCAATTGTACCACCCTGAATTCCCCTATACTAATGATGACTGTGTGGACCTGAAAACCCTGATACAATAGTACCACCCTGAATTCCCTGATACTCATCCATGGCAGTTTGGCCCTGAACACCCTGATACAACAGTACCACCCTGAACTCCCTGATAATAATCATGGCAGTTTGGCCCTGAACACCCTGATATAATAGTTCCAC